TCCAATCACATTTACTTCACTTCAGTCTTAAATCTGATATTGCCCTGGAAAAACGTTTCATATAATTGAATGCTCGAATACGTTGAGATGATGTCGCATTTCAGTTTTACCAGTATGAGTGCTTTCAGCAGTTTCTGCCCAACATTCCCGGTTTACTAAGCTATATTTAAACATGTTTTGAAAGATTTATACAGTGATTTGCTTCTTAGTCAACTTTGTTGCAAGAAGTTACTACTGTATATTTGGGTAAGAAAATGTGAAGTGACCGAAGAGGAGAGGAGGGAGGACATGGTGTGGGATATGCCATGATATTTACAAGCTCCAAATAAAATTGGACAGCTTTAAATAACTCCATACCCCAAAATATCTTTGCAGACATTTTAACCTCTTGTCTTGGTATTTTGTACACTGTTAATCCTTTCCAGCATCATCATTTTGAGTCTCTTCATACGAAGTATGAACTTCACATGCACAGGACTTGAGCTTCTGGGTGAAACAACTGGCAGTGACACGAGCCTGCAAGATTAGGCCATATTGTCACAAATCCAAAAGAACATCTTGAAACCAATGCAATTTATAAGTGCACAGTGGTAGCAATATAAAATACAAAATCATTGCCCTATCTTGAGGATTCCTTTTATTTCTGTTCATGTGGCACGTATATGTGGCTAAGTGGTAATGCATTTATTTGCAGTGTGGGTCAGTCTCCACATCAAAGACAACTTTCGTTATTTATTCTAACCTTCAGGGTTGTTTTTTGATATTTTTGTTTGGTTTTATTTGGGTCTTTTTGTTTGTTTGTATTTTTATTTTACTCTGTATATGTTTGTAGCACAATAGTTCGGTCAGGGACTTATGAAAATTGTGCTTTGCTGGTGGGCTTATTTTTTATTTGAGGGCATGGGTGTATGGAAAAAAAAATATTATGGAATAATTGCAGTGTTACAACAGAAAGCCTATACATGCTCTGTTGAATTCCAGCATGTACTGTCAGAATGGGACATTGCCAGTGATAAAATAAAAGCACTGTGGTGTGCTGATAGGGGTTTGCAGTCATCATGTTTCAGCAAGGGCTTTTCTATCACTGAGATTCTAGGGGAAGATCCTCAGCAATTTTCATGTTTACACCTCTGACCTGGAGCTTACTCTGGGCTGTAATATAAAGTAGAGCTGCTGTGGGCTGTAAGGGGGTCCTGTAGCACGAGTCCCCTCTCAGGCCCCCTAATGTGTGTGCAGGTACAGCTCTACCTGACACAGATCTTCCTGTCCCTCCTCATTCCCGAGACAAGCTCTGCTATTCCCAGCTGAAGCTGGGAAAATTGGTATAATATGTGAGGTTACACAGGTGCATGCCTCAGCATTAGTGTGATGATTGCTCTAAACATCTCTGGCATAGCTTTGGAAAACATGCTTCTGGAAAAGTACGTTTAAAATCACGGTTAATCTTGAGCTGCGTTTTTGTATGTTAGCGGTGGTTTATGGTCATCCTGTTGTACAGAGATAGGAGGTGAAAAATGATTAAGATGACAAACAGGCAAATCCAGCTGTTAAGTGAAATTCCCAAATTAGGAGCAGATGCATTTCAGTGGAAATATTTGCACCTTCCACAGTCACGCTACTGTTTTTCTACTTTGTGCATAAAAAGCATCAGGTGTCCAATCTTAAGGTGATTCCTAATCACAGCTGAATGTAATTGCCATTTTTTAGAGCTTGTTATTAGAGTTCTCATGATTCAGGTGTGGAGGTTACTCTGCCAGTGCAACTAGTAGGTACTAGTTAAGGGATTTCAACCTTGCCGGTGCACTCAATGCTTTTCTGGGTGCCTGGATGCCTTGACATATGATGGATGCTTTCCAGTAGCTGGGATGCTTTCCACCAGCAGCTAAAAGCCTCCTGAGAGGAACCCCCTTCTGGGTTAAAGCTTTCCATGAGAGGTAAGTGATGTGTTGTGCCCCTGTATAAGTGGATCTGTTTCCTGCACTAGATCCATTTCCAAAGCTTTCATGTGCCTGGAGCATGCCTTAGAAACTCATTGTGCTGAGCCTTGTCCACAACTTTTAGCAGCGTCACCCCAGGTAATGTCCATGGGTGGTGACAGCCTAGTCTTCTTTTCTTTTTTCCCATTCCCCTTCTATTAATATAAATACAACCAAAGCCCCAGCCTTAAGCTTGAAATCAGCCTTAAGCTTAAAAGACTTGAGAAGGAAAATCTTCCAGGAAAGCCCGGGCAGTGCAACTGACTTGATTTTGGCCGAGGAAGGAGGCGTAAGAGGATGGGCAGAGGAGCCAGCAGTGCTCCGAGGGGACGCTGCCTTCCAGCAGGGGGGTCGGAGGGGATTTACAGGGAGCGGTGCCGGCGGGAGGAGCGGGCCGGGATGCGCCCTGCCCTACTCACCCCAATCCTCCGAGGAGCTCCCAGCCACGGCGAGACGGGCGAAGGAGGGAGAAAGTCTCGGGGCAAGGGGTTAAGGAAAACACCGGTGCGGTGCTTTCGCCTTGTGTATTCCCATCTCCTCAATTCTCCTTAAAATTCTCCCCGTCTTTCTCCGGCCCGTGAGGGCGGGCGGGCGGCAGCGGCGTGCGCTCGCTCGGCGGCCCCGGGAGCGCGGCGGGCGCTCGGTGCGGGGCCCGCGGCCGCCTCACGGTGGCGCGGTAAGCACATGGACCGGCCCGGGCGGCCGGGAGCGCGCTCCGCTCTGCCTTCCCCGGAATAACAGTCCCGGTAATGTCTCGGATAAATCAAACCGCTGCTACAGCGGCGCAGGGACGGGAGGTGCGCGATGCTCCGCGCCGGCGGAAGGTGTTTCAGCCTCCCCGGTCGGCGCGGAGCCCGGCGGCATCGGAGCGAGGGTCTGCGGCATCCCAAGAGCGCGGTCTCACCTGGGGTTAGTTTCCCCCTCCCCCTCTCCGTCTCACTCCTCCCCCAACCCCTCAGGAGAAGTTTGCAAAGAACGTGATGGAGAGTGTAAAGCGGCAGATGCCGACGTTAAGCTGCGGCTCGGTTCGGGCACGGGGAGCTGAGCCACAGCCCCGAGCCGCCGCCCCGGTTGGCGCAGCAGCGCGCCCCTGGCACCCGGGGTACCCGTGGGGGGACAAACACAATGTAGAGTCATCTTACCTCCGAGCCTAGGGAGCAGCCTGCGAGGCAGCAGCGGGAGCAGCGCGGCTCCTGCCTCCCGCCCCGGCCGGTCCGTCGCCGCGCCCGCCCCGCAGGGCTCCGCTCCCGCCGGGCTCCCCCCGCCCCCGGCGGGCAGTCCCCCGCCTCAGCCCTGCACACATCCGCGAGTCAGGGGCACCGTTCCGAGGCAATCCTTGCCGGTGCAAATCCCCCGAGGCTTCTCTCCGCCAGAGCGTGGAACAAAATTGCCGGTTCCCCTGAGTTTTTGTCAGGCTGTGCTGGCGCTCGGGAGCAGGTAAGGCGGCTGCTGGCTGCCAGCGATCCCCGCTGCACTTGCAGCGAGCAGCAGGAGCCGGTGGAAGTGGGAGTGTGGTCTGCTCTTCATTAGGGAGGGGGGAACGGACCCTGGAGGTGATGCAGTGAAACACTTCTACTCCCTTGCATTGTGTTTGTCACAGACCACGGGCGCTCTCCTTTTATAATATTCACTTCAAGCATTCTCAAACCCAACCGGAATAAGTTCTGATCCTCCCCTTTAGTTTACATTGGGGTTGTCAAAGGATTAAATAAATGAAACTTTATTTGACCGTGGAGTTTACAGACCATGGGATCCCTGCGCGCTCTGGCCTTATTCTAATTCTATAGCGGTAATTACCCTTCGTTTCTTTAAGTGCAATAGATTTATTGCCTTAGAGACTATGCACAGTTTGATTGAATTATTCATTTTTTTTTCTTTGGTGTAGACTGCATCTGGGGACTGATGTGACGTGTAGATTTTTTTTTCAGGAACAAAGGGAATGTGGAAATGAAAGAGAGAGGGAGAGAGAGGCTGGCAGATGTGATGAGATGCGGTGAAGGTGTATCCAGCTTGGCACTCCCACTCCTCTCTTCTCCTCTCATTGCAGCCCTGGGTGACTCTCAGGCTAACACAAACAGCTTTTCTTCCGCAGCCTGCCCTCTGTCACTGTAAGTACAACAGCCTTCTCTTATCAGCATGCAAATTCCAGCCACTCACTACCTTAGCCTGGTGTTTGCACTTTAGATTTACAGAAGGGACCTTTAAAATGAACTTTCCGAGACAGGAAGGGTTTTTCATGTCGAACTTGCTTTTATTTTCTTTGTAAAAGTTTATGTGGTTTTTCCAGTTCTCTCTTCCTCTCTTCCCCCCCCCTTTTTTTTTTTTTTTTTTTTTTTTTTTTTTTTTTTTTTTTTTTTGAACGGGGGCGTGGAGCGGGGAGATTGTTGCTGCGGTTTTTCCCTTCGCTATCAAGATTATGCAGAGTTTAAAATGAAATTAAAATCTCCTTGATCCTTTCTCTGCCAAGACAATACATTTTGTTGGCAGATGACGCTGTAAGGAATTCAGAGTTTTTGTTTTCAGGCAGATCTTTAGCTTTGAGTGTTACAAAATGCAAACGTCCCCTAAATTTGGAGGAGTTCGCCAGAGGTTCTTGTTCTAGGGGAACTCGTATCAGCTGATGGGTTTGCTTTTGAAGAAACGTGCAGTAATTTACTTCTATCTAGTCTAACAAAACTTTTTCCCAATCGGATTATCAGGCTTTAACTTCTTTTCCTTTAGCTTTCTCTCAGATGCTGTTGATTATTTCGCAAAAGTTTCTCTGAACATCTTTAGCAAGCCTGTAACAAACCTTCATTGTCGGACAGTGTCCGCAAAGGGAATTTATAAACATGCCTCTTAATTGTCCGGCATTAACTGGGGTGAGAGGGCAGTTTAGAAGTGGGTGAATGACTTTTAAAGTGAAATTTCTTGCCCTTTGAGTCCAAAACTTCTGAGGCTGTTCCGCCAACTCTCCAGGAGTTGCAGGTTTGCTGCTCAGGTTAAAGATGCGGTACGTACAACTTAGCACACAGACAGGTTGCCTCGCTTGTTGAGCATTGCTTTACTTTAAAGCATTTGGTGAGACACACGGCGCAAAATGCCATGACAGCTGTGCACAGGTAAGTGCCCCGACCTGATGTGAGCGCCTGCAGTCCCTTCCCTGTGCAGGCACCCCCAGCAGGTCAGCATCCCTCCTCAACATCTGCCTGCCTTTAGCCTTCATGAAGCCAAAGCAAGGGCAGCAGTCACTCCAAAGGCGTTTCTGAACGTGGGGTAACGCTCCAAGTGAAAGCGTTTTCTTGTTTCTCGGCACGTGTATGCGGATCCGCACGGCGGGTGTTCACTTATGCAAACAAAGAGGGAATCACAATTATCCCCGTGCAGCGCGCACACACACACACGCTCACATTTGCATACAATGCCCAAGGAATCCTCTTTTCCTGGCACCGAGAAGTTGCCGCTCTCCGGCGCTGTGAGTTACATCTGTAACTTAATTGATCACACGGGGAAGCAACAAGCTGGAGAGCGTTCCTTGCGCTCCGCATGGCAGCGTGGCCGCATCCCTGCCGCGTCCTGCCCCAACCCAGTGGCATTCCCTGCACTGCAATTTCGGGAGTGCAGCGGGATGCACCCCCGATTTGGAGTTAGGTGGGCGGTTAGATTTATCTGATGCCTTAATTATCTCTTGTCCCATTCCCGCTTTGTATTTAATAAGGCGCTGCATTTGAGGAGGGCTTGGGTTCTTTTCCTTTCTGTTTCTTGGAAGAAAAAAACTTCCAGCAACAAATTACTAGAGTTGCAGACTGAGGCAGACTATTCGTCCTTGTATTCTGGTTTACATCTCTTTTCTTACATAGCTCATTCTAATTTTTTGAAAATCTTTCTGCGTGTCAAAACTGCACTAGTTGTGCAAAAAGTCAAGGTATTTCCTTTACTTGCAGCAGGTTTAAATGTGTTACAAGGAAAGCGTTAATGGCCAATCACGGGAATTCTTATAATTAAAGATTAAAAAGGACAGAGTAATATCTTGACAGGCAGCTCTTTACTGCTGTTAATCCCATACGCCGGGTAACTGCAGCAAGGTGAATACTTTGAATTAGCCGAATACAGGTGAATACAAACTCAGTATTTACAATCGTACAATTTCCCCTTATCTCTGAATTTCACTTTTTAGTGTCTTTTATTAGAATTGAAAGAATGCATGGGAATTAGCTACTATGCTCTCATCAGCTAATTTGATGATAAAGCTTTACTAGATAATTATAAAGTTCTATTTCAAGGTGCTTGCTACTTGCCGAATAGGACTTGGTTACTCCTTTTATTGTAGTGGAATTGCCAAAAATATCGTATAAAACAGGTCCACTATTCCAAGAGGTTCTGACTTACAACTCCTTTTCCCTGAACTCGGCTCTAGAGGGGTGATAGCACCTCGGATAGCAGAGGATGCAACGTGCATGCCTCCAGCAGTGTGTCGAGTTTTACAGCTTGTTAACAAAATGAATCAGAGCCAGGTCATATCTGTCCTGTGCCATCGCGTTAATGTTCAATTTTCATCACGTCCTGCTGAAGCCAGGTTCATTCGCAGTGGGGCTGAGCGTGCTTCTGGGTCTAACCTAGTCTGCAAATTTCTACTTGAGAGAGAAGAAAAGTGAAATCAGGCTCTCTCCTCGTCTTTTTGGCCTCTATAAGTTATGAAGCTATTTTAAAATTAAAAAGTTTGTCTGTTACTAACTGTTCCAGGCGCCTTCTGGAAAATGGGGAGAAAGTGCCAAAAATACAGAGATGAATCAACAACTTCTCTCTCTCATTTTGTGGGCTTGAGGTTGCTTTCCGCACTCCCATCTTAACAACAGTTTAGCCTAGGTGTGAATAATATCAAAAGAGGGAGACGTTCGCTCTGCAGCGCTGTTTGCCCACCTGATCTGCGGGCCCCTGACAGTTTGAAAGACTCTTTTATGTTTACCTTTGGAATGTAAAAATACAGCAGGGAGACTTTCTTGGGTTTGCAGTACTCTGCCACTGGTTGATTTTCTCCTCAGCTCCTTATAGTTTTTCCCTTCTTTCTCCCAGATCTCCCCCCCCCCCCACCCCCCCTTAGCACTTCCAAGAGAGCGTGAGTTCCTAAATTGGTATTCAAGCTGATATTCCAGTCCTTATCTGTTGCCTTTTGGTAGGCAGAGAGAGGGATATTTATATATTGCCGCTGCTAAAATTTCTCGTCGTCGCCACGAGAATCCCAACTTCAGCTCGAGTCCGTCCTAAATCAGTTTTTCCTCTGCGGCCATACCTGTCGTTCCCTTTTCACTGCACTCACTTTTCACCTTTCTGCTGAATCCATCACTAAATAGTTTGTGGACTCTGAGTGCCTTCTCTCCCCTTCCTCTCCCCCGGGTCCCTGTAGCTGGACTCCCATCTCTGGTGTAATTTATACTTTCCATTTAATCTCTCTCCCTGACCCTCCTTTTTAATTTTTTAAAATTTTTTTTAATTTTTTTTTTCCGCTCCCGGCCGTGCTGTGGGATCGGGCTCTTCAGAGACCCATTTATCAGCTGTCACTAAGCGCTTGCTGAGTGCTTCCCTCTCGTCGTCCCCGCTCCCTCCCCACGCCGCCAGCCCTTCCCTCCTCCTGCGCATCGTCTTTCTCCAGCTTTTTTTTTTCCTTTTTTTTTTTTTTTTTTTTTTCCCCCCTTGTAATTTTATTTTCCTGGTGTATCCCGCGAGCCGGCGGGACTCTCCCGGCGTGTGTGTCCCCACGCAGCGCGGCGGGCGGAGGGAGGGCGGAGGGCGGGCCGGCCCCGTGTGACACGGCTCCCCCCCCGCGCCGCCCCGGCCCCGCGAACCGGCTCCCCCGGGACCCCCTCCTCCTTTTCCGGCCCCCGCCCCGCCCTCGCACCCCCTCCCCGGTAACTTTCTAGTACCTTTCCTCACCACTCCGGGCAATCAGTGGTCATTAGCGGGAGCGGAGCGGTGTAGGGTTTCATGTGTCTAATGGCCCTGTGAGTGGTGATAGCTGCGCGGGGATGCGGCTGGCAGCCCGCGCCGATTTCACTTTCTGTTTTGTGCTCACTTTCTCCGCAGTTGTTGCTCTCCCCGCTCGCTCCCAGCCTCTCTCTCTCTCTCGCTGTCTCTCCCTCCCTTCCCCTCTCCCTCCTCTCTCTCCCTGTGTTGTCTCATCTTGCCTGTGCTGTCTGGGCGGGGGAGCCCTGCCTCCTTTTGCCTTCCTCAGATCAATGCCCTGGCCACTCACTTTCTGATGTTGCACGACGGGAAATGCTTTGAATACTTACGACATGGCCGCTCACATTGATTGCCAAGATTGACAGCAGTAACCATCGCCTTCACTTGTTTCAGGAGGGAAAAAAAAAAAAAAATGAACCTGATTGTAACCAAATCTCCAGGCAACCCATCCGCAAACTTCTAACGATCGGGATCCTGCACATCCATGGCCCGGAGAAACACCAGCAGACTCTAGTTCATTTATTTTATTTTATTTTACCGAATTACTACCCATTTATTCCTCTCCCCTCCCTCCCCCCTTTCACCTCCTTCCCTCTTTTTTATTTTTAATTTTTTTTTTTTTAATGAAAATTACCGAAGCGCGTTGCAAAAAAAAAAAAAGGAGGCTCTCCCAGTGCTTTGTGCCACACTGGATTCCGAGGAGGTAACCAGGAAAACCAGCCCTATTGTGTTGTATACCTGTTGTTTGCTGTGGTGCGTAGTGCTGCGTGGCTTGGTGGCGGTGGTGGTGGTTTAATGGGTTTTCGCTGGATTTATGTCGCTTTGCAGGAGAGAATTCAGTTCCCCCTGCGCTGTCTTTAATGGGTTATTAGTTGCAATTGAGTGAAGCAGCAGCGTCCGGAGATATATCTGTTGTTTAGCTTTTAACATTGCTGAATTCACCCCTTCCCCCGCCTTCCCCTGCACGATTATTTACTTTGATATCACGAGGGTGTTGTTTCTTTTTTCTTCCTTTTTTTTTTTTTTTTTTTTTTTTTTTTTTTTTTTTTTTTCTTCCTTCCCTCCCTTCTCTTTAGGGAAAAGTAGTTATAGTCTTGTCCCCGTGCGAGTTTCCGGGGCTGTTTGAATCCCGAGGTTTCCGAGACGTTAAGGGACCCCAGTACCTTGAAATCACAACACTTTCTCATCCTTCCCGAGTAGAGTTTATTTTAAAATGTAGTGACAGATCAGCGTTGTATTTTAAGATCACCCACGGCAGGCGAACACATGGTGCGGGAAGATATTGTACGTAAGGAACTAACACGAGAGGGAGAAAGAGAGAAAGAGAGGAAAAATAAAATCCGAAATAAATCTTTGAGAGCGGAGCGCTGCTGTCATTGCTCCGAAGCGCTGGCGTGGGTTTCTCCTGGCGGATAACCCCGAGAGACGCGGGATGGAGAAAGGCGAGGGGAGTTTAGTGGTGCTTATGGGTTCTGCGCGAAGTTTGAGGTGGGTGAGTGCTTTGAAGTTGGCCGGGGACGGCTGCGGGGAGCACACAAAGCTGCGGCGGCGGCCGTGCCGCGCTCGGCCACGGCGCGGCGCTGTCCCGGGGAGCCGCCGCCGCCGCCTTATCTCTGCCGGCAGAGCCCTGGATAAAGTTATACCGAAAACTTTAAAATCGATATCGCGCCCTAATTCGTGATACACAAGGAGGGGGGAAGAAGGCAGTCCATCATCAGAGAGCTCTGTTTACACCCGGGGAAGGGGAGATGCGTGCCGCTTTGTGGCAACAGTCGACTTGGGATTTCTTGCTGCCTTAGCTCTTTGCCGGAGGTCATGCAAATCGACCTTAAAAGAATGCATAAGCCATAAATTAAAATAAACCCTTAGCCAGAGGCTGATCCATAAGTAGACAATACCTAACCTGGACAAAACGGCTTCCTTTGCGAGCTGAAAAAAAGAATAGTGCCTAAACTAAATGCAAAGTAAGTTTTCAGGAAGTATTTCACTTACTATTATTACTGTTATTCTTTTAAAATAAAATAGTGGCAGTTGCAACAAGCTAGCGCAGCTGTTTGCAGGCGGTGCTGCAGGATACGAGTGAGGCAAGGTGTGTCTTGTGGAGAGCTTGTTCTTTTCCTGGGTTTCACTACCTTGGAAGCTGTTTATTTTTTTGGATTGGGGATAAGGAGCCTCTTTTACCGTACAAGCAATTTGATGTTTTATCTCGGATAACGCTGAAGCGTTTATGGCCAAATCTGGGTTGCCTGCAACTGTCACATGCGCGCACACAAGCTGCGTCTGTATATAATAGTCTCGGGGCTTGTTTTTTTTCCCGCAGTTTTTGACAATTGTTCCATTCATGATCCTGAAAGGAATCATCAGTGGGAGCTAATGAGTGCGCCTCTGCGGCTTGCCCTGCTCCGGGGAGGAGCGGGCACCGGCGCTGCCCGCTCGTGTAATGCATGCACGCGTGTACCGGCGGCGGGGTCGCGGCTGGGTGTAGCCAGGGCAGAGGGAGAGCAGACAGGCGGGATGCGAGCAGGTACTTCCAGCCGAGCCGCCGCAGCGTGTCCCCGGGCCGGCGGCCCCGGCGCGGCCCGAGCCGTGCGGCGGGGCCCGGGGTCACTCGCAGGCACCGCTGCTGTCCGGCCGAGCGCTGCCTCCGCTTCCTGCGGGCCGCCTCGCCGTGGGGTTTGCTGCGGTTTTGTTGTTTGTGAAAGGACGGGAAGGAGTGAAAGTGGCACCGTGAAAGGACAATTAGTGTTGCGTCTGAGTGGCCGGGGTGGGGGGAAGGGGGGGCCGCAGGGAAAGGCAGCCCGGTGGGGGCCTGGGGACGGCAGATTAGTGCTGTCCTAGGGGTGTTTCCCAAAAACAGAGAGGTGAAACTTTCTGTGATAAAGTAATATATCTTCGCCTGCTGTTCCTAGATAAGGTATATGTTTATTAAGCAAATTTAAATAGCCTTCGGCACACGAGCGGCACTTTGTTCCTACTGCTTTCTTTTGCCCTCACTTTAATATTTTTTGCCGTTTCCGTCTTCAGTGCTGATCGTGAGGACAGGAGAACAGTTCTATCCAGTCCTCAAACAGAGTTTGAAGTCCAAAAATTAACGAATTTCCCTTTCTGTATTCGTGTAATGGAGCAATTTTGAAACCTGTTTTGAGACTTCGACTTGACTTGACTTGTTTTATTGACGTGCTTGTGCCCACTCATTTAATTAAGCCATTATAATACCATAAAGTAAATAATAAGAATGAATGTGAGATATGTGCATGTAGCTTGCCATTAAATACGAACATTTCCCTGGAAAGGACACTTTAAAAAACTTTTTTTCAGCACCCCATGATTCTTTGGCAAGATCTTATTGCAGGTTTTTGTTTTGAGCCAGGATATTTCGTGGGTTTTTGTGCTCATGACGTTACATGCACACTACGCTTGGAATATAAACAGCAAGCGTACCTAGCAGCTCATTCTAGTAAAACTAAGGAATAATTATTTATAGTGAGTACATTTAAAAGAAAATAATGAGGTCATTTGGAGTATGCTGCAGTTTGAAGTAGCTCGACACCTGGCAGAAACTACATATGCGTTTTCTTCAGACTCTGCACTATCCATAACTTTTCCTTATAATACATTCTTGTGTTAAGTGAGAAAGGCTGTTTGTAAAACAATCCCCTGGCTGGTTCCAGTGTTGGGTGAAGCTGATCCTGTAATGGCATTTTGTTTTGAACAGTTGCTGTAGTTGAAGTTCCCTCATAAGGTAAGGTGGCACTGGGTCTGAAAGGAGGTCCAAATGCCACATTTATAATTAGACTGCCAATTCAGCACATTGTATCTATTGCTATACAGGGATATACTGCTGTGTCTGGTCTCTCAATAGACTGTATTCAGAATTAGCCAATTCAACTGCTTAAACTTTGGAGTCAAATTTAGAATAGGCAATGAGAGAAGGAAAGAAAGAAAACAATAATGCTTTATTTTTTTCCCCTCAGCTAGCTATTAAAAGCCAAAGAATATACGGAAACCAACCCAGGCACTGCTCTTGGAAGCCCTGCACCGAGCGCAGCCTGGCCAGCCTCGCCTGCAAAACCATTTTGAAGCGCGCTTCTCCGGGGGGAGGGGAAGGTGAGCCCTGGGCATCGCTCCCAGCGCCGCTCTCCATCCAGGCCGCTTCCCGGGCCGCGCCGCCCGCAGCCGGGGGAGGGGGCTCGGGGCCGGGCCCGGCGGGCCAGCCCAGCTCGGCCCGGCCCGGCCCTGGGCTGCAGCGACCCCCGGGGCGGGCCGGCCCCCGGAGCCCCCGGTCCCCGCTTGGGGCGAGAGCGGCCGCCCCGGGGACCCCGCGCCCCCTCCGGCCGCCGGCGTGTGCCCGCCGTGTCCCCGGGGGGCTGGCGGCTCCCGGCCCCTTCCCTCCTGTCACACTCCTCGTGTCGCTTCCCCCGGCCTCCTCGCCGGGAACTTTAATTCATTCAGCGAGGAGCGCCCAAGAGGCCCTTCGGTCGGCAGTCTCGCATCCTCTGCTAAACGCATTATTCCTCCCTCCTCCCTGCAGCGCAGTGCTCCGTCTCGGTTCTGCTGGGAGGCTCAACTGGGCTGCCTCAGCGCTCCCTCGGTTTCCTTCTCTGCTAGATGGCAGGGTGCAAGCCAGTGCCATGTGTATAACACAGCATAAAGGCAGCGAGACAGATGGCTGTCTCTCCCTGCACGTTCCCGACTCTCCGCTCAACTTATGTAACTGCTGTTTTTCTTCCTTTTTTTTTTTTTTTTTTTTGCATTTACACACCGGGGAAAGCGACAAGAGAAACAAAGTGGAGCCCAGAGCCCATCAGTTTCACTGGTAAGGCCACAAGTGCCTTAGCGGCAGAAAATACTTGCAGAAAATAGTAGCTGATGTCCAAAGTTAGTCGCCTTCACTTGTCAGCTTGGTTTTGTTCACAAGTGGGAACTGCCAGTGCTTGTTCCCTCGCCAGTGGTTTTTAATATGTGGCCAACAACTGTTCGTGGTCATTTCCCGCCGAACTTCTTCTGCTCAACAGGAAAAAAAAAATCTCTTTGGACATGTTTTTTGCATCTTTGATCGTATTTTTAGTCCAAAGTATTCACATATCCCTGCAGTTCTTGGAGGCCTTAAAATAGCTTGTGGCAATAAAGGCCAGAGCTTTGCACGATAATAGCAATAACAAATACACTTTTTTTCTCAGTTGGCATTAGAAAGTTTCTTTAGTCCTTTTTTTATCTGCTAAACACTGTGATCACCTTGGGAGATAACACTTCAGGAAGCATATCTATCAATCTTTTACACTTGGGTAGATTTCCCCCTTGGAAGTGTATAGATCACACTCCAAAGGCTTCAGTCGATGTATTTATTTATTTATTTACTTTGCAGAACAAAAATTACTTTGGAAAGAGAAGCCAGAATGCACTTGGCTTTCCACCCCATACAATGGGATGTTGTATATTTCCTTTTTTCCACAGTGTCACTTTAGAGATCAGTGGGCTCCTTTGGCAGACCTTGAGTGTAATGGCTGAAGTTTTCCAAAGTTATGTAAATAGGGGTGTTTGTGTATATGTGAGCTATGTCAACTGCAGTGATACAGAGACGTATTTTTAAAACATTTCAGTTGGTACAGTAAATCACAGAGGCAGAGCCTTGAGACATTTGTGCATGGTGTCAGAAGCCAGGAGAGAAGTGCTGCTGTGTGAGGTGCTCGGTAGCTCACATAGAGCTTACTCGTCAAGTAGCAGCAAAACACGCAGAGGTGCATGTTTCAGGTTCGTTCTGTAGCAAGCTGGTTTCTGTTCATCTCTTCTGGTGGCTTTTTGTGTAATTTTTATTTACACAACTTTCTGTTTTTCCTCAGGTAGAACAGCAAGAATGGGAACTTTTAGGGGACTTATTACCAAACCACAGACACTGAATTTTCTTCTCTTTTGTATGAGCTGTTTGGAGTTTTTTAGACAAATGATTCTCTACATTATCTACAGATACAGTATGTA